ATATATTCCTTTTAAACAAGTCTGTCATATATTTATTTCAATCAAGTGTATATATAGACTTTTAAATAAGTCTGTTGCGGCGTGCAATCCGATCCCCCAATATTGACTTATAAATAAGTCTATTGCGGCGTGCAATCCGATCCCCCAGTATTGACTTTTAAATAAGTCTATTACGGCGTGAAATCCGATCCCCCAATATTAACTTTTAAATAAGTCTATTGCGGCGTGCAATCCGATCCCCCAAATATAGATATATTTACTTTCATTTTCGTTGCGGAGTGCAACCCGTTCCCCCAATATATCACTTTAAACAGCTCATAATGTAAATAAAAAATTACTCCAATAAATACCACGTCCAATGAGAAACTATTAAGCATCAAGGCACACAATATTTATAATTTAATTATGAACAAACAAAGGCAAATAGCAAATTATTATGGAAATCAGAGAGAAAATATGCAGTTTAATATTTAATATGCTAAATGTCAAATAACAATTAAGGCACATAATTCAAATAGCATGTAATAATTAATGCAAGAATTATAGAATTAATATTTGACAAAGAATAGGAGAGAAATAATTATTATAATAATTAATTCATGATTTAAAATAATTTATAATTTTTCAAGTAAGCATGCAAACAATTAATTTGACGATGTATAGACACTCGTCACCTCGCCTATACGTCGTTCACATGCAATTCACATAACAAATAATTTAAGGGTTCTATTCCCTCAAGTCAAGGTTAACCACGACACTTACCTCGCTTTGTAAATTCCAATTAATTATTCAACCACAAATTTTCCTTTTAATTTTGTCTTTGAAAACTTCAAATCTATTCACAAACAATTCGATATATTCAATACTAATCATAGGAAATAATTTCATATGAATTTTACTAATTTTTTGGATAAAAATCTGAAATTCATTTAAATATTTGACAGTGGGACCCACATCCTAAAATTCCGGAAAAACTGACGAAATTCGAACACCCATTCCGATACGAGTTCACCTATATAAAAATTTTCCAATTCCGATATCAAATGGACCTTCAAATCTTAACTTTTCGTTTTTGAAAGATTTTATAAAAAGTTCAATTTCTTCCATCTAAATCCGAAATAAATGATAAATATAGACATGGATTTGTGAAATATAATTACTTTTCGTTAAAGAACACTTACCCAATTCAAAGTCGTGAAAATTCCCCTTGAAATCGCCCAAATCCGAGACATGAAACTCAAAAATGAGTAAAAATGGCTAAGACCCGATTTTATGTATTCTGCCAAGTATTTTTGCATCTGCGGGTTTTATTTTCGCACCTGCGATCACGCATTTGCGAGAAAAATCTCACATTTGTGAAGTAGGTATGCCAGGAGAGGTTCCGCATCTGCGGACATTTCTATTGCACCTGCGACGTAGCAGAAGCGACCAAACGACTGCATAAGCGGTCTCTTCCGCAGAAGCGATTCAGCCTTCGCAGAAGTGGTCGCGCATTTGCGCCCCATTTCTCCGCAGAAGCGATGCAACTGGCCAGTGCCCAGGTCGCAGAAGTGACCAGCTTCTCGCAGATGTGGTTGCGCACCTGCGATCACCATTGCGAAGGTGCGATTACACCAGGTTCTGCCAAGAACCTGCTGCTTTCAACATGCTCTAAACAATCCGAATTTCGTCCGAAACTCACCCGAGCCCCACGGGACCTTATCCAAATATTCCAACAAGTCCCGTAATATAATACGGACTTCGGGGTCTCAAATCACATTAAATAACATCAAAATTGCAATTCACACCTCGATTCGGACTTTGAGTTTCAAACTTTTCAAATTACAAACCTCGTGCCAAAACATATTAAATGAATCCGGAATTACTTCAAATTTGGCACACAAATCATAAATGACATAACGGAGCTGTTCAAATTTCCAGAATTGGATTTCGGCTCCAATATCAAAAAGTCAACCCCGTGGTCAAACTTGGAATCTTTAGCCTTTAAATTGCTAGTTTTGTTAAATGGTCATAACTTGAGCTAGGGACCTGCAAATTAAATTTCGGGCATACGCCGAGTCTCAAATCACGATACGGAGCTACCAGAACTGTCAAAATACTGATCCAGGTCAGTGTGCTAAAAATATTGACCAAAGTCAACTCAGTTGAGATTTAAAGCTCTATTTCACATTTTAATCCATTTTTCACATGAAAACTTTTCGGAAAATTTTATGGACTGCGCACGCAAGTTGAGGAATGATAAATGGTACTTTTCAAGGTGTTAGAATACATAATTTCTTTTTAAATTTAAAGATAACATTTTGGGTCATCACAAAAAGTAAATAATTTCTCGCGCGGGCTAAAAGAAGAAAAACCCCAAATAAAAAGGTTAAGTATGCATTTGGACATTTTTTGGTTGAAGTTTGAATTACAAAAGTATTTGATCTCTAAATATTGTTTCAAATAGCACTTAATAATATTTATAGCCAAGCCAAAATATTTTTCGTGAATGTTAAATATTCTTGTTTTGAGAATTTCCTTGCATGTGATAATGCTCCACCAATCCAAATTTAGCAGTTAACAACAATTCAATGAGTGAGATTAGAATTCTATTAACATCATTCTTATACGCTATAATAATTTTTAGTTTTCTTGTTTTACTTTCTATTTTGGGTTCTAACAGAAGCAGCTACTACAATGACCAAAACTTAGTTTTAATTAGACTACTCTTATAGTTTTGTAATCACAGTTTTCAATATTATTAATGCTAAGGCAAAATTACATAACAAAAGGGGAAATAAACAAATTCTCAAGAGTACGCCAAGGTAAAATGATTAATAAGGATGAAATCCAGTTTATACTTGAGCAAATACAAGCAACTCTTTCTTTGTAAATAATCAACGTAATAAAATCTAAGAAGATATGAAGAAATGGTTGACTGCCGGGGGCGGATCTATGTAGGGGATTGGAGGTGGTACGCCACCCGATCGCTCGAGTAAAATCGTATATATGTGCTGGTATTTTTCTCAAAATATTGAACATATATAACGGGTGTCATCCCAAAGTTACAAAATTACAGTTAAAGCATTGTAACTCCACATAAAATGCCCAGGATCTCTGTTGTGGTCCTAGTTGTTGTTTTGTTGTCATCTTTTTTCCCTTCCCTTTCGTATCTATGTGCCCCTTCTTTTAAATTGTTTTAATTTCTTCATCTTTGTTATTCACTCTATTTGTACAATCCCCTTTTTATTATTTATTTAAATTGTATATCTTCCTTTTTCTTTTTCTAGATCTTCAAATTTATTTGAATGTGATTTTAATCATTTTCTCTTTTTATCCATCTAATGTTATTTTATTAATTTTAGAAATTAGAGTGATGCATCAAAGACATAATATTAATCGAGCTATATGTAGATTGAAGTGGTGTATTTTCTAATTTAAAATTTTATTTTTTACTTTATATTTTTTAATCATATTAATCAGATTTGAATCTAGAGAATTTGACCGAATTAGACGGAACTTATTCGATTTTGTGATCACATATTCATTTATGCATAGAACGATCTTTTAAATTGAATTGAATTAATTTAAAATGGACCGAACCGAACCGAATTAATCAAAAATGGATCGAACCGACAAAATGTACACTGTACCCAAGTTTAATCTCTTCACTATGGTTGGTTTGCATTAAAAGCAGTGGCACCAAGGGCGTACGCAGAAATTTTTATAAGCGGTATTGAAATTTATCGAAGAACGGGAATCAATAACTTTAGTTATCATACTTAGAGACGAGAAATAGCTTTAGTCTATTGGTTTTGTTGAGTCTTAAGTTAGAAAAAGTCCTGAATTAAATTCTACTTCATCACATAGATTCTCTCAAATATTTGCAAAAACGATGTGCTAGTTGATGTTTGAACCTCTGATCTCTTAGAGAAAAATCAAGCACATAATCAATGTGCCAAGAGACTATTTATGTCAATTGATGTCATTTTTTCCTACTTATGCGCTACCTCACAGTATTAATATATATATATATATTTAGTAAAAAATTACGACGGTGTCGCATGACACCGCTTCGATAAATGTGCATCCGTCCATGGTACCCGTAGCCATCAAATCCTGAATCCGCCTTTGCGGACTGCTTAATAAAAGAAAGGAAGAAACACCTTGCGTAAAAATACAAATTTTGATCACATAAATGTAAATCAAATAGAATAAAAATGAAAATTTCGAAAGCCAACGTAAAGTAAAACACATTAAGCGAATGATGTTAACAAAAGTGAAGTGTTAGTAATGTTGCGATATGCTTCTTCTTTATGTTTTCTGAAATACTAATTCAACTTTTCCTTCTTTGTCCGAATATTTTGCCTTTGGGTCTCTCAGTTTGTTTTAGTAAAAAATTACGACGGTGTCGCATGACACCGCTTCGATAAATGTGCATCCGTCCATGGTACCCGTAGCCATCAAATCCTGAATCCGCCTTTGCGGACTGCTTAATAAAAGAAAGGAAGAAACACCTTGCGTAAAAATACAAATTTTGATCACATAAATGTAAATCAAATAGAATAAAAATGAAAATTTCGAAAGCCAACGTAAAGTAAAACACATTAAGCGAATGATGTTAACAAAAGTGAAGTGTTAGTAATGTTGCGATATGCTTCTTCTTTATGTTTTCTGAAATACTAATTCAACTTTTCCTTCTTTGTTCGAATATTTTGCCTTTGGGTCTCTCAGTTTGTTTTCTTGGCATTCGTTCACTTTCCCCTCCTTTGTACCCGTATACCATTTTACAAATATAAGAATATCCAAAATTCAAAATCTATAGTGCTACAATGCAGGTAACAAAAATAGTATAATCTTTCCTCGTTAAGACCATCAGCCAGCCAGAATATGATGTCTTAACTCTTATCAGCAACTCATGCCAATAAACTGCTCAAATAACTCTAACCTGCCAATACAATAAAGAAGAAAGATGTTATGCTCACGTTATCTCGGCATTGTTTATAGAAGAACTTGTTCTCACTGATTAATGCAAATGCCCTAGAAAGACCTGATAATACTACCATGGATGAATTGACACTTTTTTCCTGAATTCTAGAGTTGACCCAGTCATCACTCTTCCTGTTTTCAGAAATGCCTCTAACATGATCATGTCGACGATAGATGACAATTTTCATTTTTAGGGGAGGGGTGATTACATATAAAAACAATAGGTTACAACCAGTGTTTCTGAAGGAAATTACAGTCAGTCATATCCAACTCAAACACATGAGAATAGAGAATTTATAGAAAGTTACCGTAAACTTGTGAAGATTCAAGGTACCAAAGTTCAAGGTTTACCGGTGGTGAAAAACTTGTGAAGATTCATCTGAATGCCTGTGAGATTTCCTTGAATGAAATCATAATGGTGGCAAAGAGACGTGGCTTCGCGCACACTCTTGAAATGGAAAAGCCTAAGTTTTCGCTTGTCGATTGTGAATCGGGGGCTTTATTCCTCGTTCATAGGTCTTAACGGAAGTATAAGTAATTGAAACGGTGCCATTGTTATTTAATAATTGATTATTATTATGTTGAAATGAGAGGGATAAATCTAAAAAAAAGAGAGGAGATAATAGATAAATACATTTCCTGATTTATTAGAAGTGCCAAATCACCTTGGCTAGGNTATATATATATATATAGATTCTTCCGAAAAAAAACATGCTCGAATTATGAATTAGTTCTCTAATAATGATCCAACTCCTCTTGGTCTTGGCCTAAATTGGTGTCGGTCCCCAAGCTTTGGTCTATCTTTATTTAGTAAAAAATGAGTAAGATTTGATCCAAACCAAAACACGTTAATTAGGCCAAACAAGAGGAATTCGATCTCAAAAAATCCAAACTCCAATTAAGAAGATAACAGAACAGGAAAAAAAGTAAATAAAAACTGGAGTTGTGGTATTTTTATTCTTTAACTACTATAAGCAATGTCTCAAAATTAGATGTGGAATAGCATAATATATAAATGAACCAATTTTAAAACAAATGATTCATCTTTATTTGCATAGCCATGCTAAGAGAGAAAAAAGAGAAGCTGAGGAGAGACGGGAAAACTCAAGCTAAAAATTTGGTAACAACCAAACATCACGTCCTTTATTTCTGATGGAAAATGTTCCAACTTATAACGTATTAATTAACACTCCGTTTGGATCATTGTTACTCATAGTTTTATAATGTATCGTATTGTACTGTATTGTATTGTATCGTTTTAAGGATACAACGTTTGAATAGATTGTATCGTTTGCTGTTGTTAAATAATATTTTTGTTATTTAATTTGACTGTATCGTACAGTACTGTAACTGATAAGTTTAATAAAATACCCTCAGTTGTTTTAATTTAAATATTAAAATAATATTCCCTAAATTAAACATACTCGCTAAAAATATTCCCTAAATTAAACATAGTCGCTAAAAATATTTATATACACGGTATTATAATATAAATATGTATTAGGTGTATAATAGATAAGTTGGGATAAACTTTTATTTTCAATTTTAATCTTGGATTGTTTAAAGGCATTGGGGGAAAAGCCTTGGAGAAGGACATCTATGTTATTTTAGTATTTCTCTCGAGATTAATTAATCACGAGATTATTATCGCACTCTCAATGTGGATAAAATAATATCCAATTATGAGATTAATTAATCCTGAGATTGCCAATCCCGAGTTCAAAAATTCAACTAAACGCAAAAAAAAATAATCCCGAACTAATTTTGAGGTTACTATCCCTTATCTCACATACCAAACGACCCCTTAATAACTTAACATTCAAAATTATATGCCTCTACGGTATGTAGGAATATTCATGCCAAGAAGAGACTTTAAAACTGTATAACCATTTAAAAGTAAATACTCCATCCGCTTTAATTTATGTGAACTCATTTGATTGGGTACGGAGTTTAAGAAAAGAGATAAGACTTTTGAATTTGTGGTATAAAATGATGCACATATATTTTGTTTGGTTATAAATCATTGCATAAGGGTAAATTATTTCCAAATAAGAAAAGGGGCCATTCTTTTTGGCACGGACTAAAAAAAAATAGGTTCACATAAATTGAAACGGAGGGAGTATAATCCTAATATACTAATGGAATTCTTGTTGAAAATCAATTTAGCTACTGGGACGGTGTTTTATGAGAGCCATGTGAAGAGAAGGCTCATAACAAAAACAGGGAGCTAACGAGATGCAGGTCCATCAGTTGAACTTTATGAGTTTTTACAATGATATCAAGTTAATATGAAATAATAATTAGCTTCATGATCAAATATTTATCATTATTTTGTTGGAAAAAATAATAATCTCGCCCAGAAATAATATTCACGGAAAATAATAATAACACAAGAGAGTAACAACGATACCAACTCTTTTAACATGGTAAATACAATACTCGAGCGGAACAATATTATCACTATAATATTACATGTTAGTAGTGTCAAGAGACTACTATAATTTTGAAAGAAATAACACTTTTTATTTAAAATACCTCACTACAATATTATTGACACTCACCATTTATCTCACAGACTACAATCTGTAGATTACTCTCTCTAACTTCTATTGCTTCTCTTTGTTTTGGTGTAATTGAAATGAAGAATGGAGGCCTCTATTTATAGTAAGAGATGTCATCCAACTACTACAAAAAAAATTGGCTTGTTGTTGATTTAATCCTATAATGTTTCAACAAAGTTAGGCACCTCCCATCCCATTTTTCTTCAACAAAGTTGTCAACAAGGTTAGGCACCTCCCACCCTATTTTTCTTCAACAAAGTTAGGCACCTCCCATCCCATTTTTCTTTTTTTCTTTTTATTTTCTTCAATATGAGCCCCACAAATATCTTCCTTAATTTTGATTTTTCTTTTTCATTCCAAGACTTGATCTCAATCTCTGAAAATCCTCAAACTTAAGAGGCTTTGTAAAGATATATGCAGCATGATCATGAGACTTCACATATTTGACCTTGACTTCCTTCTTGGCAATGCACTCTCTGATGAAGTAATATCTTGTATCCATATGCTTGCTTGGATCATGATACACCGGATTCTTGGCAAGTGCCTATGCAGATTTGTTATCAATACAAATCTCGGTAACTTCAATTTGTGGCAAATTGAGCTCCTTCAATAATCTTATTAGCCAAATAGCATGATATGTACATGATGTTGCTACTATATATTCGGCTTCACAAGTCGAGAGAGTAATTATGGACTGTTTCTTTGAACTCCAAGAAATAACAGAATCACCCAAGAAAAACACAAAGCCAGATATACTTTTTCTATCATCAATATCTCCCGGATAATCACTATCACAAAATCCCATAAGGTTGAAATCATTAGAAGAAGAATAAAATAACCTAAAGTCGATCGTACCTTTTAGGTAACGAAGAATTCTTCTAGTGATCTTCAAGTGAATGGAGGTAGGAGCTTCCATGAAGCGGCTTACTACTCCAACAGCAAAGAGTATATCTAGCCTGGTACAAGTCAAGTACCTCAAACTTCCTACAAGACTTTTGAAAAATGTGGGATTCACTTTTTTTCCTTCATCAAAATTGGACAATTTTGTCCCACTCTCCATCGGTGCGTTCACGGGGTTGCAATCGAGCATGTTGAACTTCTTCAATATCTCTTTTGTATAGCTTTCTTGATAGAAAAATTCCATCCTCCATCTGCTTCACTTCTAGGCCCAAGTAGTATGACATGAGCCCTACGTCTGTCATCTCGAACTCACGAGACATATCTTTCTTAAAAGTTTCAAACAAACTTGGGTTATTATCCGTAAAAATAAGATCATCAACATAAAGACAAACAAGTAAGATATCTCCATTTGTATGAACTTTAAGGTAAATAGCATATTCATAGAGACAACGAGTAAACCCATTGTCTTGAAAATACTTGTCGATGCAACTATTCCATGCTCGTAGGGCATGCTTTAATCCATATAAAGCTTTATTCAACCGCAATAGTTTATCTTCATGGTTTTTGACCACAAAGATCAATGGTTGTTCAACATGGACTTCTTCTTCAAGATAGCCATTCAAAAAAGCTGACTTGACATCTAGTTGATGGATCTTCCACTTCATTTGCGCTGCCAAAGAGATGAGCAAACAAATCGTCTACATGCGGGAAACATATGCATAGACTTCTTCATAGTCAATGTCTTGCCTTTGCTTGTAGACTTTAGCAACAAGTCGTGCCTTGTATCTATCTATATCTCCATCAGTATTCTTCTTGCCTTGTATACCCATTTAACTCTAATTGCTCGATGACCCTTGGGAAGAGTTGGTAACTCCCAAGTTTTGTTCTTTTCTATTGACTTGATCTTCTCCTCCATGGCTTGTCTCCACCTTTTGTCTGTAACAGCTTCATCAAAGTTCATTGGTTCACTGTCAACAAAGAGACAATATAAAGAATCAAAATTTGTAACTTCTTATGTGTCTTCATAGAGCTCTTGAATACTCCTTGTCCTTTGCGGCTATTCATTTGAACTTTCTTAAGAAGAAGGAGATGCAACATTGGTTGGAGAAGGAGGTTGAGTTGTATCCAGCACAAGTTCCACGGTCTCTGGTTTTTCATCACCACCAAAGTATTAAAAAAAATCATATGAAGTTTCTTCCTGAGCTTCCCAGTTCCATGCTAATTTTTCATCAAATTCAACATCGCGACTTACCACCACCTTACTGCTGCTTGGGTTATATAACTTGTAGCCTTTTGAACTCGTATCATAGCCAACAAATACATGCTTGGCACTTCGATCGTCAAGCTTCGCTCTCCCTTGTTGTGGCACATGAGCATAGGCTATGCTCCCAAAGATTTTCAAGTGCCTGACACTTAGTTTTCTTCCACTCCATGCTTCTTGAGGGTTTGATCTTTAACATTTATTGTTGGAGACCTGTTGTTCAAATAAACTGCACAAGAAACAACTTCGACCCAAATTTCCTTGGGCATACTTTTAGATTTCAACATACATCTAGCCATATTAAGAATCGTTCGATTCTTTCTCTCTGCAACTCTATTTTGTTGGGGTGAATAAGGTACCGTTAAAGGGTGACGAATTCCATGAGGCTGACGGAATTCATTAAATTCTTTTGAAGTGAATTTGCCTCCTCTATCGGACCTTAAAGCTTTTATTTCACAGCCATTTTCTTTTTTCACTAGTACTTTAAAATTTTTAAAAACAACAAAAGTTTCAAATTTTTGGTTCAAGAAATAAACCAAGTCATTCTACTAAAGTCATCAATAAAAAGTAGAAAGTATTTACTTTTACCAAAGGAAGGTGGATTGATCGGTCCACACACATCAGTGTAAACAAGCTGAAGCGGTTTGGTTGATCTTGACATGGCCTCCTTTGAAAAAGTCCTCCTTGCATATTTTCCTAGGAGACAAGCTTCACACAATTGATTGGGATGTCTTATTGATGGTATCCCATGCACCATGTTCTTTTCTCCCATTGATTTGAGAGCTTCAAAATTCAATTGCCCAAATCGCATGTGCCAACACCATGATTCATCTTGCACATTAGACCTTCAAATACTTTGCATCAATTGTCTTAAGATTCAGAGAGAATAATCTATTCTTAGCCATATGCACTTTAGCAATTAGAATTCCATTTGAATCTCTAAGCCA